ATATATGGGTTGCCTAGTGTAACGTACAAACGAATAACCAAGAACAAGGTCATACAAAGGCTGTACGAATATACCACAACACAGAATAGGTCCTAGACTAGTGTCAATCTTCTTTCGGGCTCGATTCGGTTTCTGAAAGGCGATGTCTAGCGTGGGCGCCTACTTGGACCGGATCGTTCCGACGTGCGTTAGCTTGACTCTGTTTCTGATACGTGCATAAATCGTCTGGTAGACATTTAATAGGCTGTATGTGGATCGAGTCGGATGGACAGACCTCACCACCAGTAACACACACATACGCTAGGCATAATGCTTTTTAATTGAAAAAAAAGTATAACAAATGCTAAGCTAAAATTCGTATGTTCTTGCCTTCCATTTTTATGTGTACTCCCTCTATCATTGCAGCATAGTTAGTAAGCTCTGAACGAGCGTGAGTAATATGCGTAAGACGTCCATCTGCGATTAAATATTGTGTAACTCTCGGTGTTGAAAATGTGTTTCGCAGAACAGATCATGTCGTATGCGATGATGATTAATTGAAGATTATCGCTAAACACTGAAGCGGTATCGAACTTGTGCTCAATGATTATTATATTGTTTTTGAAAGAGCGATTAATGAAGTCGGTAGTTTTTTTGAAAACGAAAGTCACACAAAAATGTAATTGGGCCACGCATGTGCATATTTTCCAGGTTGAAGACCTCTACGCTTTACTTCGTAGTGAATAACGGGCAAAGCGACAGAGGACTGACATAGAGATAACATAAAGTAACACATTTGTTATCACACATAGCCTTTTCTTTTTTCACTGTTTGCCTCTAACAAAAAGGTTGTATCTTTAAAACGAATGCATATACATATACAGATTGATAATAATAGTAAATTATAAGATTTGAGGTTTCTTGTTGTTATGACAACACTATACACTCACTCATTATGACATTGAGAAAAGCAACGTCCAAAATACACCCACTTGGCCTCTCAGTAAACGTACCCAGCAACTTGCCCACATACGCAATCTGACAAGACCAGCTCGTTCTGTATTGACCAGTGGCCGGGTCGTAAGTTTAGAGTAAAAATAACAGGGCGAAAATAACGACAAACGATCTTCAAGCAAGTATTGCCACGGTCGATTATCGACGAATTGATACGAACAATACGCCCCTGTTACTAACCGAAAATTCGGAAACCTAATTACAGAGGAGCTTGAAGCGCGACCTTCCTCTATAGCGGTTCCCCGATATATCCGTGCTAGATTAAAGTAAGCGGGGTCCAAAAGCACACGCACCATATTTTCTCGGTTTTCTAAATTAGAATTAAAATATATTTAATGTACATCTCGTGTGCATACGCAATGAACTATATCTGTCGCCTAGTGTTTATGAAAACAATGTTTGATCTGAGTGGTTGCGTACGGGTGCACATACTTGAGCCTAATACATATTTTTTTCGATAACATTTTTCAGACGAAGATTGATACCACTGGCCTCGACTGATAGAAAAGCCTCCCGTAAATCTATTCGGCCGTTACACACTGTTAAAAAGGTCCATATTCGCACATTTATCAACCGAAATTCAAATAATCAGCTTAAATATAAACAACGTCAGCCATGTGTAAAAGCAGAGAAAAAAATTTCTGCACATGTCGGACACTGAAAATTTTCGTGTGACGAACTTAGGAGATATTAACACTCTACAATATGTTGTTTAAGCGCGTTAGAAGAATTCTCGTCTCCATACTTTAATTCGATTAGTATATCCTTAAATGACTTGATGCTCAAATCTACGGTAAATCGATACACGTTATTTTTGCTGAAACTTCGTCATATAATAGCGCAGTTACATCTATTCACAAGGCCGTCGGTTTTGTTTCAGCACCGATCTCTGACGCCTACTAATCAAAACTTAATTGTCATTGTTTAAGTTACTGTTTGCACGTAACTAGTCTTCTTAATTATGTTTTGTTCCTCACTCTGTGACTCTTTGGAATAATCGGTACGGTTAGCAAATTGCTGTATGAGAAATAGGATGTGATCGAACGCATTCCCAGGAGTATTTCAATATCGAACTGCTTCTGGGTTCAAAAATTAGTGTACTTACGGTAGCTCGCTTTGACCATTTCTCCACCCTCGCTCCAACCCAATGTGAATGACCAGTCAGCTATGATGTCATAAAGGGTCGTGAAGGCGATCCATAAACGAAGAGCTCTAAAGCCAATCTCCCCAGGTTATTTTCTTAGGAAGAATAATTTCGATGCTGCTAACAATATAACAATCAGCAGATATTGTTGTCGTCGTGACCGTCAAGCACGATGGCGTGAGCATGTGGATGATGTTTCGTGACGTGTCGGACAAGGTTACTTTTCCAATGAGTCCTGAAATCGCAGTAAGAACACTGTAGTTTGTCTTCAGTGTGACATTTGATGTGCTGATTAAGATGACCCCGTTGTTTGCTTACGTAGCTACAAAAGGGGCATTGCAGGTTGCGATCAATATGTCTTCGCATATGCTTCTCGAGATAGTGAATGCTGGCGGTGGAGTAATCGCATTGAGTGCACGTGTATCGGACGTCTCCAGGGACGCCTAACATAGAAAGCGTGGTAGAACCTCCAAGCCAGGACACTTCGCTGCTGTCAAGCATTTCTATTTGGACGCCCCCGCCTGTAAAATAAAGGCGATTTCGATTAGGTGTTTGCGCAAAACGAATAAAGGAAGCAGGGAGACACGGCTCTACGACAATCATCATAGATAGCTGCGGTAAATTAATGCCATAGTCGACCATTCTACCCATGCAGGTGATATATCCACACGTCATCGGCGACTTCTCTGCGCCTGCTATTGCTTCGAAAGTAATTATCAACTTTACTCACGCTATATTAAACCAATATTTGCTTTGGGGTGTTCAAGATAAACTAGGCAAAACCTTCAGCGTCTGCGTCATATGAATAACGACTCCTCTTTTATTGGGAAATAATCAGAAGTCTTGTGTGTGACAACATCGACAGTTGTGCTCCTTTTGTCTAGAACAGCTCCAACGAGACCCTATAGAAAACTGGTGTTTCCCACACTCGTCCACATAATTGATCTGTAAGAAAAGCTTTATTAGACCGATGCGATTAGCATACAGTAGTTTAAGAAGATGCACCTTAATTAGCATAGAAGTAGCTGGTAAAAAATGAGCCAAACCATTCAATGTATTAAGGCGATTCTATCTCTTGCCCTAAATTATATAGAATAAAAACATGTATTTTCTTATAACGAAACATAACAACATGCACTTTGTATTTATTGAAGATCGCATAGCAAGTTCTTCCACTGGACTGTGTAACTGTTTTGGTTCACGTCCATTTTAAAGTATCGCTTTAATCAGAACACAGGACACTCTAGCCTGTCTACTTTTTACAGGAATAACACAAACGCGTAAATTGATTGTAAGTCGAAAGGGGACGTCTGTTTAGTCCAATGACGAGTCCTATTTTAACGACCATGATGAGTTTGATACTGTTGGCATGTGGTAGGTAGACGTTTCGGTAGTGTGGCTTATTTTTTCGGGCCTTTATGCTTCGTCCTGTGTTTACGTATACATCAGCTGTCTACAAGTGGGGCATGTCTAATTTTAATCTCATATTGATTCGTTTAAGAAATCAGCATACCCAACTACTGCCGTTTTGTATTGGCCGCACGACGTTCATATTGATAGCCAGTCAAATCGAATTCCCTATATATTTCACACTGTTAACTCGTACGTTACGCAGACCTACCAATATGTCGTATATGTTTCGTGATAACGTAAAAAAAAACGATAGGACACTTTAAATTTTGCTAATCTAAAAGAAAAACTGATTGGGCAAATGAAATGGGTTCTAGGACCTCACGAATGTGCAACCTATCCGACCCGTCACTCTCCTACAAACGACAAAGCAGGAATGTATCTTACATCTAAATACTGAATAAGATCTTAAAAGCTAGCTAGAGGTCTAAAATAGGGCAATGAAAATAGGCAGCGATACGTGCCTACAAACCGTTCGGAATTTTCGTATTGAATAAATATCTAGTGCGAAGAATTTTTGATTTAACGGCCGGATAATACGTGCGTATCAACTAGGTGAACATGTACTAGGTAACATACGAAAGCTTCCCTAGAGCAGGGCTACTCAAATCCACTCTCTTTTCTCAATTCGCGTAATGCACACAAGGAACGTGGGAACATAGCTTCACACATACTGATCAGGGCCATAACAGAAGATGGTTGACAAATAGCCAATTGCTTATACAGAAATATGGCAGACAATACCGATGAGTCTTTGAGAAAATAGGTAATCAGTTCGCTAGTCTTCACGATACTTCAGTTGCCGGTAAACATCTGCTGGCTTCGAATTTCGTGTTGTATTTACATATAGGTCACAGTGTAGCCGTCGCAGGCAACGACCGGCGCTTTCCTCGACTACTCTTTTCGACTCTGCACAGAACGTGTAGTTTTGACTTGAGACAGGATCATCAAAATGAATATTTCGTATTTTCAAAGCTATCTTTCTTGAACGACCGAGTGGTCGACTTTTCAGCCTGCCAGAAACATTTCAAAGCGTTCTGTCACAATTATCAAGTTGTATTTGAACATCTGCCCGCAAACAATAGGACTTGCCTTGGCAGTGTCCAGTCGTGCGTAAATGGTATTACCGGAACTGTCTCGCAAAAATGCACAAGCGCATCCATTATCTAGACGCATTTCAGCGTACTCTTGAGTAAGTCGGTAGAGGTCTGCCGGGGTGCAAGGTTTCTGCGTGGCGTTGTAAACTTCGCAGCCAGCTCGTCTTGAAGCTACAGTACGGACAATATAGCGACTTCCTACTGTGGCTCTGCATATGGCAATTGAGATGGCCACGGTATCTGGTCTTGTACCCACAGTCAGGACACTGCAAGCTTCGGTCAGATTCGCTATGGCCATGCGACGCTGCATGGTCCGAATCTGAACCCGTTAAGGATTCCGTCACGAACCCCGTATCCCGACCATGCCAGGAGCTATCAAGTACAATTAGCTTCGTTGACGACTGCGTCGCTACGGAAGATTGCATTTGTCTTTGCGATTGGTGAGGCTTCGGGACGATGTGCGACATGCCGCATGGTACAGTCGCTGTGATATAGCTGGGGGCAGAAAGAATTAGATTATGCATTCTTTCGACATACGGTACATGCTGAAGGGCGCCATCGATATCGAGTCCTTCAAATGACGCTATCTTACTTAACAAATCGAACTGTTCGGTGAGTTGTTTGATGTGGTCAGTTGTTGCGCATTGCTTTACCGTTGGGGAGTGCCGCAATGGCGACATAGAGCAGCTTGCTGGTTTTGATTTCTCCATGGTTCCGTATTCCAAAATCTGCCGTTTGACACTTTCGAACGGTTCGCTAGAGACTTCAACAATTGTACCAACTGTAATCAATCATTTTTTCGGGGTTAGTAGCCATTCTCCTTATGATCGACAAGAGGATCTGCAGAATGAAACACAGAAATTTAATAGCCGTTCGTAGTGAACGTGGCAACGAGCGCTGAATTGAATGAAATTACTTAAAATGTACAATCTTATAATTAAATTCTTACAACGACATCGCATTTTGTAGTAGTGTGCTATTTGTAGCGTTCATCTGATTTTGTAAAGTATTATCACTTATTTCTAGAGCTCAAAACGCATTGTATGCTTTCATATTTTGCTTTGATACTGCTGGTGATTCAATAGAGCTGCCACTTAAGAAAAGCTTCACTTTTCACCGACTTGTTAACCCGTCAAGTTTTGGCCACGCTGATATCCTGAAAGAACACAAACTATATTAGGTCACTATTCACCATATACATCTATTTCTGATAGTGTGAAGGCCTCATCCCAACTATATTAGAATATCCCTTCTATAAGAAAAACGCAGGCTAACTTTTTATGGTCCCTATTTTTTTCAAATAAAAACACATCAGTTTACTTGCTACAAAAATATATAAAGTAATAACAACATCAGTTTCTTCATTTATTAATTAAAAAAAAGCAATGTTATAATTTCCTACTGGGTGATCAGCATCATTTTATTATGTTGTTGTCTTCGTTCTCTGTATGAACTGGAATGAGACATTGGATTTTCACATGTAGAACCGACACTATCACCATCACTGTGATCATTTCCAGTCGTCCTAACAATTATATCGGTGTGCCTAGACGAAAGCTGATTTATGTATATCTTCATAAAGAGTCGAATTGGCTGGCCACAGCTAGTATCTTGCTATTTAAAGCAGCAAGCCTCTCTCGCTCGCTCGCTCTCTCTCTTTCTCCCTCCCTCCCTCCCTCCCTCCCTCCCTCTCTCGCTCGCTCTCAATCTCTCCTTCCCTCTCTCTCAATCTCTCCCTCTCTCTCAATCTCTCATCTATATCATCATTTATACTACAATGGAGCTCATTAACAATTACAAACATGTTTTTCAATACATATATGGATAGCACCGTAGGTATATGCCACCTTCCGCCTGGCGGTATCGTCTATGACCATTCAAAACTTCTATGCAAGATCAGTTCAGTCCATCATGCAAGACGCTGTCAATTGACTGGTTTGACTTGAACCAAGTTAGCTTTCCACAATTGAAAGTATTTATATTTTTCGAGTACAGGTGCTCTTGAGCTGAATTAGTAAATTGTCAGATAACCATTTATCAGCGATGGAGAAACTGCAGCGTTTACATAGTCGTATTTCACCGTACACTTTATTCTTTGTTTTACCATTATTACTAATTCGTTTCTTTCATTTGCCCAGATCCTGCGGACTCTCACACCACGTGTATAAGCGTTATTTCTTCTCTCTGTTTGTTTGTTTACTTATACGTGTCCCGATCGTATTCGCTATACCCTTCGATACAGTTGGCTTTGTGTAAGCTAAAAGCATTGGCCTTGTAATTCGTCCGATAAATCTGAATTTAGAAAGTAAAAAAGCAACAATCTACCAAATAAGATGGCCTCGATTTTTCCTCTCAATAACTTCCTGTTCAGTTTTCATGCAGCAATCGTTTTTGTTTCATGAAAATTCGTAAAGGGAATCGAACTTTTTACATCGCACTTGGCCGAGTCTTCTGATCAAGATAGGTCCTTGTGACCTTGTCCTTAGCGTTAAGGCAAGCAGGCAAGAAAAAGGAATCCCGACGAAAAAGATAACACTGCATTGTCTATACAATGTATAGCGGAACGTTTGCATTAATAACAATTATAAAATATGTATATAATTTTTAATAGGCTTTTTTGAGCTAGGAAGAAAGAGCCGGTAAAAACGAAAAGTGTCGCTATAGCGTCTTATGTATGCTCATCATATCATACAAGCACATACGCCTAGAACATAGCCGATCTGTAAGCTTGATTTGTCAAGTTACGCGACCAAGGCATATGGCTGTATGCGTGATAGGTTGTGGTATATAGTACAAGATTTGACTTAGACTTTACCTTAACAACAAATCCCGAAAAATGCTTAGCCAGACTAGTCTGCAAAAGGATTACTTTCGTTCAGACATACTTGATACACCTCACCTAATATTAAAGAAAAGTTCATTTTTAAGTAGCCAAAAGTTTTCAGTAGCTGCGCACACGCTGTTATATATAGCGTTCGTGCGTACATTAGGCTTAAATTTTATCGTAGTTCAGGTGAATTAATTATAGGTGATCGAGTCACCAGTGCGGGATCTGCGCGTGTATTTTAATTAACAAAATATACTCTAGTAAGCTACTAATTTACGGGCTCTTTTTGAACTATGCTCATCAGCGGACATTTTGCAAGTAACGTTTACAGACGCCAACTAATTTCAACAAGTTGCAAAACAGTCTAACCCGAACACAGGACTTTCATAAGATTCGTTCGGAAATGAAACTTTCAATGGCATGTTCTGCCACTATGACATATGAGTCGTGAATTTTGACCGAACGTAAGTAATCGTATTGAACTGTTAATTAAAATACAATTTTCAAGACGTGAACCATTTCGAAGTTGATCAATGCATGGCTTTATGCTAACTTATATAATAGAAATGCGAGATCTACCAACCTGTGCTTATATATATATATATATATTGCTAATGTGAATTCACAGTAAACCGTTGTCATGTCCGTAGGCCAACTCACATTAGGTCTTCGCTTTGTTGGTCGGATAAGCATATGATTGGCTTTTACTTTATGGCTAATTATGGCTAACAATACCGAACGATAAGAGAGCTGTTTTCCGTTCCGTAGCTCAGTCGATTCTGTTTCAAAAGCTATCAATGATAGGCTCCGCTACAATGTAATCTGTTTAGTGTGGACAGCCACAGAAGCGAAGTGGCCTAGAGTTCCTTCATTGCATTCGATCATAACCGTAATTAGTGCTACTGTGCATTACAGTATCGCTCTTTCTACGCGGTCTCGATAGTACTCGCGATGATCAGATCACGAATGGTCTGTCTCATTTCAATACGAATGTATATGCGTCGGGTACTACCTAAGGAAGTGTGTCCTACCCTCAGTGAACACACGTGTTGATATTATACTATGTGGATGTACATTTTTTACCTACCCAAAGTTTTATTTCCTTTACCGTGTAGGTAAACTGTCGATAGCCTATTCCGCTATCTGTACAAGTTGCTGACACGACAAGAAAAAATAAGTTTAAGAAAAGAAAACATTTGCTGTCTCTTACCAACTACAGTACGTGTTCTGGAGGAGGTGAGAGGTGGGCCACTCGAGGTCGGACGGGCGGTCTAAGGCACGATCGTTAAAAGTTAGCAACCTTTCTCACCATCCTGTATTTCAGCTCGAACATTGTCAGACACAGACGAAATAGCCTTGTGTAATCGGAGCCGCCCGAATATTAAGACGACCGTCTTTTGCAGTAATTCCGGAAGATATGTTAACGTTTGTCGTGTGTGAACCACCGGATTCCAAGACCACCTCACTGCCAAAAAATTCAGCGATGTTATTGTTGGCAAATGGTAAAAATGCACCCCTTGCATAAAACCATCGTGGAGGCGCCTGAAGTCACTGCGTCTTCATATGACCTTACAGTTCTGAGGACTAAATCATGAAGTGCAACGTGCTAGTGCCTTCACATTTTGTTTTTTAGCAAATTTTTCGTATTTATCTCTTTATCCATGTATCGCTTTGCTCGAAGTGAACTATTGTAGTGGTCTGAAGATCTATTAAGTCTCGCCCAATCTTCGCTGCAACGGTAGAGCATTCAATAGCGAAAAGATCAACGGAATTCGGACCACAATTGTGGCTACTGATTTTTACACTGGGTAGTTTGCGCGAATATGCGTAACTATTTTATGCCCTATGGCATCTAACTGTCTATTGGCATTTAAAATACTTTCAACTGTTGTAATGTCCTAGTTCTCTGATGCCTAAAAGCCACTCAAGGGTTTGATATCGAATTCGCTGGCGAATCCGGCGGTTCATAGATATTCGTAACCCACGTGGATAACTAACAGCTTGTTAGGTAATTTGCTCAGTCTAAGTATGCAAAAGTCGAGAGCTTAAAAAGGGGTCCCTTAGCTAGGTAGTTATCGTAGCTCGACGCCTAACCGCCACAGACTTGTTCTGGAATGTATAATTAGTACAGATTTCGGCCAGATCATTTCGGCCCTTTCCTTCCTTTACAGTCAGGGCGATCCTGCCCAAATTTTATCAAAATCACCGGGTTCTAGCTGTAACTACGTCTGTGCATGTATCTAGCTGTTGAAATATTCATTGAATACTTCAGTCTACTGCGGTCGTTACCTAAAATGTTCATTTTCAGTAGTCAGTGCGTACCATGTTTTGTCACGGTTCAGCTAACTACCGTCCTTTGTAGTTGTCTGTCTGCTACATTCGTTTAAAGTATGTAAGCAAAAACAGCGCTAGACAACCGCCTGGTAGATCCTCACATACATTTTCCTTAATCATATCCCCTTAACATTCACCATCTGCACCGGTTCATCGATAAACGATGTACATGTATATATATAACACTATTTATAGATTCTGCTAACTTTTTTAACTGCAGAAGTTTCTGTTGTGACCCATGCCTGTTCCTTACTCAGATATGATATGCACATAAGATGCGCACAAATTCATGTTCGCGTATATATCTATACACATATATGGATGTTGTATTTCTTGTTTACAGAGCTTTTTACCACGTTTGCATAGAAAATACGACATGCCTTCTTTTTGACCCGGCGTCAATACAGAATAGATTTCCTTTTGGTTATTATAGTTCGAGGAAAAACGCTGCCTTGACCAGGTCCCGCCTTGACGCTTGCGACACGACCGTTAAGAGCGGCAAAACTTTCACAGAACATGTTCAAACAAACTGTTCCACGAAGCGTTTTGCTGACCTTGGCAAGTCGTTGCCGGAAAGCTCAGAGTATACTTGATATCAGGCGCTCGGAGGAGACAAATATCGTCGTAGCGAAAACGCCATTAAGTGTCATCCATGTGCTACTGGTCGCCATCTAGATAACACTAGTATCAAACTGAACGATGAGTACATATTGTTCGACAACAGGAAGGTCTGTTAGTTGTCAAGAGCCCGCTTTAAAAGATTCGCCGGTAGCGAGATACTTCTGCGCCACTCTGTGACGCATAATGGGGTAATATCATTACAAGTAACGTCCAATACTATTTCAACATATTTTGCCATTTGTCAGCTGGGAGTATGCAATGTTGTAACTGTATTCATGATAAGGCACCATCAGAACCAAAGGTGCACTGCTAATTCGACGAGATAGCGGTGTAATTAGGGGTGCCTTTGTAAAATGTACTTGCTGTCACAGTGTCCCCCCGTATCAACATGAATAGAAATAATAGTAAGGCTATATATACTTATATATAACAATACGTTCGCATGATCGGTCCCGTGTTCCCGTTAGTGTGTTAGCGTGTTCAGCAGAGTGCTTCTACCAGTTGGCGTACACCGACATTTATCATCATACACCGGTCTTACTATCAGTTTCATTTGTATTGCAGAGCACACATCACATGTTCAGTTTCTATTCTATTAGTCTAAATAATCTTCCTTTCTCTGTTCCTGGTTCTCGTTATTTCGTCCGCTTCTCTTCACTCGCAATCTGTGTATATATATATATATATATATATGTATATATAAGTGCGTATACATACCATTGATACATTAATAATAATGGTCATAATATTAACTATATAAATTTCCTTCTTGAGCACTTAAGGCAAGGTGATACGTATATACGGTCTGCGCCCTCTGCGGCGCTATCAGGGACAGCTGCTAGACGGCTGTCAGGGATAGGGATTTAGATTATGACGTCTCCAAATAGGTTGTGCGAACGACACACACGTTTAAGAAATCAAATTCACAATAGATTTCACACGAGTTTCTTATTCATTGTTCAGCTACTGCTTTCTATGCTAGTTTTGTTTATCTCTTGCTTGAAATAATACCATAATGAAACATAATAACACCGTTTCTCAAATCCTACTCATTTTTCTTCCATGACGTTTTATAGAACTCTTAGTTATTCCTGTTGATTTCTAACCTATCAAAGAAAAGTCTGCGAAAGGCTCGTGTGCGTTTCGGATGGAGACGTTCTGACATGGCAGCACACGAGTAAGTGTTCCTCTTCACAATTGTTCAATATATATCTAAGTATGTATATTTCCCTCATAGGCATGTATATTTACTACTTTCCGCTTCTGCGACTCTGCCAAGCTTTGGCTTGAGAACGACGCAGATAATAAGCTCAGTTAATTGTTGGATCAACATTTTTTCTTCTGTCTATAGCATCGTTGCTTAGAGTTAACAATCTTACTGCTTTTTTCTGTCAATGAAAAAGATCAGCACCGGAAAACATGCCGATAGATGAACAATAGCATTTTCAAAAGTTTCGCTCACATTGTCATCCACAAAAAATGTTGTTCTGTTATGAAATTGGCTCGTTATAAACAGTAGCAACAAGGTATGAAATTATCTCTAGAAGTGCTGGGCGAGCCCGGGGCTTTGATGCCTAGCAAGGGTCGACCAAGGTTTGGGGTCATTTTGTGTGGAAGCCATAACTTTTTGCAGCTAAACGCCATATGATCGACATTAAAAGTACTTTCATCAGCGTGTCATCTATTAGATCAGAAACGTTGCCCTATCTTTCCTCTTTTAAGATTATGCTGCTGTAGAATGCAGTTACCTAGAGCAGTCGAACGGTGTCAGCCGCAGGTAAAGCTGGATAGCATTTGTAAATTGTTTGATTAATATTACATTTTCCAGTTTGCCTATCGATATTTGTATAGCTTGTACGTTCTACAATTGTATAGCGAAAATACGAACGCGGCATGGTCTTATCACTGAGGTAACGAAAGCATATGAATATTAAGACGGCGATATGCTAAAGAGCTGCAAGCAAGCAGAGGTTAAAAGTAATGGATAACAACGCTAAATCGTATAGCCAAGCGCGTTCCCTTGACTTCCCCAAAAGAACTGAAGTGTTCAACGCTATATAGAGAATCTCACGCCATCTCACCCATTCCCTTAACGAAAGATTTTTGTGCCGGGCTGGTAGATCCTATTGGCGATTTCCTTTTTTTTTTTTTGCCCGAAGTGTAAATTTAAATCCGACTTGCCGACCGTTGATGGACAACCATGTGTATGGTAACACTGCTCTTCTGAGTCGCTCTATAAGGGCACAGCGGGCACTTGTATGGCTTCTCGCCCGTATGAACACGCTCGTGGACAACATAGTGTCCTTTCTTATTGGTCGAATACGGACATACGGGACATTGGTAACGCATTGGTCCTGGGCTTGGATGTAACGCCTTTCGACCTCTGCCAAGCGCGTGTTGAATCTGCTTCACCGAGTCAATGATGATAGGGGTAAGGTCAAGGCCACGCGACGCAGTTGCGGCTGATACTATCGCTGTAATTATCGGAACGAAACAGATAAGACAAGTGACAATAACAGACATAATAGTATATTAAAATAATCCAATAAATCATCGTAATCGCAGCATCGACAGATGGCCAGTCGTTAACTAGGAAAGGGTTGAAAAAATAGCGATATTAGTGAAAGCTTTGTTGTTTATATGCATGTAAACAAGATAAAAGAAAAAGTACCCGTAACTGTGCTTGTTCATTTATTTAAAATTCAAGCGTTTACGAGCTCAAACAGATAATCCAGAATCAGCAGAAATCCTGCAGCAGAAGAGTCGGTCCTTGGATTACAGGTGGTAATCTGTAAGAACAACGCGTTTCTTAGTGATGTGTCATACAATCTTAAAGACCAATATATACATAGGACTAGAAAGTCATACTCATAAAATAATACAAGAATCCTTAGAAGACATATTCGAGGCGCTATTTAATTATGTAATAGTTGCCGCTCTCTTCCATCATAGACAGGCCTTTCTCTTCCTGTACTAATAATTGGCCTGCCTGTTCCGCTGACTCGCTTAAGGTGTTATTACATAATAATAATAATATGCACAACGTATATATAAAGCAATCGTACGTACCAGTATATACGATTCTGCTGTTCGAATCGCTACGCAGCGACCTAAATAATAGGGTGTAGATCGCTTATAGTGTACGCATCAGTTTCAATAGAATGTCGATGCCATCATTCGTTAAACGAGCTCCACGAAAACTACAGTACCAATAAGTTACTCTGTTATCATTGCCTTATCGCACGTAAATGCGAATGAATACCGTTGCAACTGTACGCGGCGCTATAGCGAGAACGGCTTCCGGCAGGGTGGACAATGGTTCTGCTTAAGACCTTCATCTTGTCGCACATGCCTATTAAAATGCTAGATCCTCTCAAGATCTTACCACATGGTTGGCGGGAACTCCTAGATCAACTTTGACGATGCATAATCAAGTAAATGCCTCCATCGACTTCATAAAGCGCCGCTATCCGGTTGGTCTCCATAACGAAATCCAACCCTTTCGTGTTGATAATCCCAGTATCGATAACCTTAGGTCCATCTTCGGGTTTGATCTGCCGATATTTGATCGACATCGCTACTTTAGTAGCAAAAACATGTTCCGCAAGCAGAACATTCTGCTTCCAAATGCACGTCATTTTGTAGTTGTGATCTTTCGTAAGTGGAGACGTAACGTCTTGAGGTCCAAATTGGGTCATTAAGGCTTTAGAGCTATTTTCATCGTGTACGTCAGCACGATGACGTTGATCGCAACGTGACGCTCAGTGCCCACTTTAGAACTAAGTGTTTTAAATAGGGGCTGCTCTCCTTAGTCAACCACTAACCGTTAACGTTGCTAGCACGACTTTGTAACAATTTAACCGAGTAATTTCTGTCTCTCACTTATTGCCTGGCCATTTACAGGTCCGAGAGCTGTAAACGACGATGCGTCAATACGTCACTCCGTAACGAGATTTTGTCATCGAACGTGAACGCACTAGCTACAAGGTGGGGAGGACCAATTCGTGGTTATGATGATGATGATGAGTGAACTGAATTGCATTCAGTAAAACAATGAAAAACAGTAGGACGATATGGTAAAAGTGCAGCACTGCACGCTATACTTTATTATCATACTCTTTATAATAGTTAATGCGTCCAGACTTGGTTGGCGAAAATCCTGTCGTTCCAATTATTTTTCTTTGTGATTTTCGGTAAATCGAATTATCTGCAAGAAACGTAAAGAATATTATTGGTGTTCGTTATGTACAATGTAAATTAACATTATCGTGTGGCGAGATCAAACCTTTCAAGGAAAAAACTGATCACTGAAAACAGTTCCGCGTTATAAATCTACTGGCTCACTTTATTCCGAACCTGGAACAAACTTAGTTCTATAGAATAGGTGTTTACATAGTTATTTGTTTTTCGTTCTTCCTTTATAGTTGGCTACCTAGTTTAACCTATGTTTCCACAAAGTCATGTACATCATGCTCGACGAGACTGTCCTGCAATATAACAACATACATTCTATACATTGACTAAGTGTGTCTATCAGTGGCGTCTTTATGTAATATTTCTATTTTAGTGGCAGCCGTCTAAGAACATAATAAAGCGAACTGTTGTGTTCTTGGTAAAGATGTGCTAACTGAAAGGGGCTAGAATTCATTCGTATGTACTTCGACTCAAAAACGTCAAAAAACACATTACCCATATTTCTGCATGTCGGTACATTACCTAAACGGATAAGTGACATAACATATATGCACCGCAATGAGACCGTTAAGGTTTTAGCACTAAAGTGAGTCTCTCGGCTATGCACTTTTTTGAATTCAATTTATATCTTGTACATTTGCCAACAAATAGATAAATCGTAAGTAATTTTGACTTATTTACATAGTCATAGATTCGCAAAACTTTATTAACCATGGATGTCAAGCTAATTGTCAATTGAAATCATGTCCGCAGCCCTACGCCGTGTCTGAAGGCCAACAACATTTTGGGGTCAACTAGGCCAGCTTTACGAGCCCAATCGGCGCAATCAACACACTCAATAAATTAATGAATTTATATAAACTATTGTTTTTCCACAAAGATCATCGAATATTCGGTCAAAACATACTTCCTTAAATTAGATTACATATAAGGAGCTAATGGGTAAACAATAGATGCTATGTATCTCGTGAACAGTTAAACCTTATGCGAAACATATAGAGCGCTTTAAAAGCGATGGACCATATATAGTCTGGAAACAAATACTTTACTTTCGCACTAAGGAGACGTAATCTCTATCCAGAGTGTAGGAACAAGAACGGTAGCAATCATAGGAATAATAATGTGCAAAATAATGCGTGTAATATAAAGCTAACATGGTGTAGTGGTACAGTAAGTATAGGATGACTGGTTGTATTGGCTCTGTTGTGCTGGTCTGCATTTACACACAGGCCCTGTGAGGCATGATCCCTCTGCCCCCGTGCTTAGTTAAAATGATCATCAACTCCGGTGTTCGGAGGGGTAGTATCATACAACAAGAAACAGCTGTGGAGCTAAAAGTTTCCTATCGGCGGTTATTTACATAAGCGGTTTGTTAGCCGGCAGGATCTCGTGAGGCTGAATGAAGCTAAGGCTGCAATGAGCTGTCGAACGATGTAGACTAGTGAGCCGTACACCGCTATTAAGAAAATAATAAATTAATGCAACTTCTCTACTTGGTTTACTCGTCTGTTCTGTTATTCCATAAAAATGGATAATACATCTTGGAGTTACCAATTATGATCGGGCACTACCACCAGCTCCGCCTCAAGAAAAACTTACAAACTGCATGCGCGAAAGCATTTTAAAGAAGCATAGGAATCTGGTGTATGACACCTTTATGACTGCGAAGGATATCCCCCGTGAGAAAACGCTTCCCACAGATGTCACACTCGTACGGCTCGCTGCCTGAATGATGACGAAGATGTTTGAGTAATGACTTTCGAGCGCCAAACTGCTTGCCACAAAAAGTACACTTCAATCGAACGCTGCTCTCAATGTCAAGCGATGGGTAAACCATTGCACGAGCCTCGACTTCTGTAGGCAGGCTCATCAACGGATCCAAACTACCTGTAACAGCTGTTGTAAGCCAAAAAACACGACGATATTAATCAATCAAGGTTTGTAATATTCGTATGAATTAGTCTTGTCAAAAATCAACTATCTGCTCATTGCTAAATAGGCAGTACGTCAAAGCTAGGGTATCCTCCTATCTTTAGTAAACATGCCAAAGTTATAAAAATAATAAATAGCATTGTTGAGTGGGGGCATTTACGAAACAGTGGCAAATACGTGCGCTATCAGGTACCACTTGATGAAGGCAAGTTCTTCAACACTACTTCCAACGGTCACTGAGAGTCCAATATACATGACTGGAATGTAAGGTACTAGAATAATACTAGTCTTCGACACGGTAGGGCTTTAGGAATGTTCTCCTTTATAATTAAATTAACGAAAAAACGAGTGGAAGACAAGAATCTACATCGATGGATATGACCGTTTCATTGTGGTCATAGTCCCGAAAAGCCCAGGCATAGGAAATTCTTTACGCAAATTAATAGAAACACTACATATAATTTCCATGTACTTGAAATTTTCCGCTTGAAAGGGTAATTACTTAAGTTCAAAGCAGCACAACAAGCGTCATGTCAGATCGAAATAACTTCAACTGTTATCAGTAACGCTTACGCGCCTCACAAGGGAAACATGAATTTTAATGCGGACATCGATGACGTGAATGCGTATAGGACTTCTCCTAAACGTCCCTTTTCGCTCACCTCTAGGTTCCCGTGATATAAAAAATACGGTGCTCTCCAGTTTGAGGCAACGTTCGCACAGAGTCAAGGCTTAAATGCTTCGTTGATGCTGGATGCTATTATGTGCGAAAAATATACTTTTTAGTCTGTGAAGCCTCAATGTTTTTAGCAATAATCTCGTCGCCATTTAGCCGATGTATACAATACCTCTGAGGCATTAACAAATAGTATAAGGTGTCCTATCACATCTCCATTACGATACATACATTACGAAATAGTAATCATCATTTTGTGAATATAAATTAGTCTCTATTATTTTAGGACTTTTTTATGTTTTCCCCATTTGCCTACAAAACACTAGATGGCCTGATAGATCTTGGGGACTACCGGATGCCTTTGTTGAACCAAGGCCAGACGCGTACCTATTTCGGAGTCTTTTACGAGCTATTCAGCGACCTATGCATTACGAATAATAGCAGTTTCTTGCTGCAAATAATTGGAACTAGGATCTTTACAATCTACAGCATGTTTTTTTTATAATGCGAACATGTTCATAACTAGTACGCAACTGTGAAACATAAAGTCTTTTAACAAAATCAGTGCTTAATTAGCAAGTACGAAATTTCAGAAAAGACAGAGTCTGACTAATTTCTTCACAGTTATTGTTTATAAAGTATTGTTGGTATTCCACTTATGTTAATGGAACAAACGCAGCTTGCCTATACGAAAACAATTTGACCTTACAATCCGTGCACATATCTGATCTATTAATAGATGTTTATAAAAAGCAACAGACAAAAATCCATCCGAAGAGATGAATGCGATGGTCCTATTCATTTTCGTCTTGCTAATTTACCAGAGCTTAGCTAACAACACTTCCCACGGTCATGACCTCGTCCCTTAGGGCAGTTCTCGGTTTTAACGCCAGTTATATGTTAGTTGTGTTTATCCTTACGTAACTGATCTTCTTGGGAGAAATCATATTGATTATTTTGCATCCGAAAAAAAAAAAAGCAGTAACTGTAATGATATCGTTGCGTCAAAGCTGTCAGTTCTAAATTTAACCCACGCCGGTACTGATCCAATGATATCGCGAATCCATGATCGTTTTGTGGGTTGCATTTTAGTACGAAAGTTAAATACTTAAAATCGGATTCACATAGTTTTTCATACTATTTAAAAATTAACATGCTATCAATGAATGGCTCTTGCGACTCTGCTGTAAAAAGAGATCTGAATTAATACCGCGTAATGGATTTCTTTGAAAAAGCTAAATTTGATATTATATATCTGCCGGACCTCGAACAATATTTTTCATACGTCTATCGAAACATTTTCGCAGTTGTACATACTCGATGTTATCATATATACAATAACGTAAAAACACATGTTACTCCACATTAACAGGAGAAAGTGTGAAAGTAAAGCGATAATAGCAGAGATTTTTGGAATAAATTCTTTGCAACTGTTGAAGCTCTGGGACTGATAGTGGGCAAGTAGAACAACAAGCCCAGGCCAAGGTCGCGGTTCGATAGTTAGCCCAATTTCCGTTCCTTTGCCGAAATGATCTGATTACACAAACAATAATATGCAGTAATTTAAATGGCTAACAAGTACAGATCTGTGCCATACTGTCTTTTCGAAATTTCACATATTGACAAGTAATTATCAACAGATGAAAAACTAGCTTAGTTTTACAATGGTTCTCGTTCAATATAGGCTACAACCCTATAAGTACACTCTTGATTTCATCATGCAGGTTGTTGACTAACGCCGTGACAGGGTTCGGACTAGATGTTTATGCCTACATATAGTCCTTTAGTTTACAGTTTTGACCTGCCTTGCAAGTATCGACCTTAATTTCTACTTGTCCTGGCGAAACATCGGTAGAACTACTGCAGATTCAGATACGCACATAATGATGCTAGAATGCAGCGAAAAACAAACATATATTTTTCTTTTCAGCACGACTATATCATTCTGGTAAATAACTGCTGTGATAAGCCATATATTCAGACGCTATTTCTGTTTAATTTGTAAAGTATAGTGCAACGTTATACCAGTGTGCCCCTTTTATAAAGGATTACATAGTGAGGAAAATAGTTGATTTTTGAGAAAATCCCCAGAGGTCGTTTAGCTATCTAATCCGATATTTTTTTAGGTTTTTGAGTTTCTGGTTTAGGCACTATACCGTTTCAAATGACCACTTTAGATCGGTAGGGTAATTAAATACGAAGAATCACATCGGGTGGAACTTGTCATTAACAGTTTGATAAGGAAATATGTTGGTCATTTCTATCACGCGTGTTTGAAATGAATTATTGTTGACTTACTTTAAATGTAAAAAAAATTAAATCAATAAATAAATGTTTATTCGTACTTACCTCGCCATTACATATTCGCACAAAATTTTGGACAAAATTAAAATATATTATTGCAACCGCAAATGCTCCAGGCAAAAATGTACTAAACAGAGCATAGGTCCTATGGGTTTAAATCACGACGCTTTATGGCGTTTCCTGACTCATTAAGGCCTACCATAAGCACATATAGATTTCATTTACTATAGATGACGTTTCTGGAATATGGTGGCCAGCGTTAAGATCGGTACAACATTTATGCCCCTTGCCGTAACAACTCAGCGCAAACTCAGGTTACCTGTAAGAAAAGCGCACTTTAGAATTGATTTTCGAATCGAGAGCTCGTTTTCGATCAGTCTATGTCATACGAAGTTGTCTTCGAAGATGTAAGTTCAACAAATAGAATCCAAAAAACGATCTAATCGAACAAGACAAATACACCTTTTCTATGTGAATGTAATGAAATGAGTATACTTTTATTACCCTTTTCAGTCCATAGTTCAATAATTTCCTAATTCAATTATATCCATATTGATATTGCTTACTATTAATACGGCTGGTATATTCCACAATCATCTAGAAACGAATCGTTCTCTGTTGTTGGTTGGTTCGCTTCGTAGGCCCAAACATGTCGTAACGTCTTTTGTTTTGTATATACCTAGCATATGTTCTAATGAGTACGTAGCCGATTAGCATGTGCTATTGTCGCAGTTCAATAGTCATACAACTTAAGAACTTACTTAGAACAGCGGAATACATCTTCATCACATATCATCATACATAGATAACTGTCACGAATCGTCACGATGTTGCGTGCATATTAGCTAAAGCTTAAACGATAAAGTACATAATAACAATAGAGCAAAAGTAATGCTAAAAAGATATGGCACAGTCTTGGCAAAGCTTGTGACGAAAATGGTGTCATATGTGATACCAACGTAATAGGGAAAAGTTTACGCCTTTTGCAGCAGCAAAAGCGTTACAAGGCTTTTATAGTCACTTCCTTCCCAGTGACTAGCACGAGAAACAAAGAGATGAGATTATGTACATTTTGGCTTGTCTGAGGACGAAGAGAGTTATTCACTGACTGACAGAAATACCTAATGTAGATATGACTAGATTGAGTCCAAATGCTGCATACATCCATGCAAGACCAGCGAGTAGAATCTGCTTGTGATCACTGGCCGCGTCGTTTGTTACTAGAAAGGATATCTTCATTCTTCGGCGTATGTCTAACCAGCCCTCTGAATATATGACTATTACATTATACTCGAAAACAGTAAACATTATTCTGGCCTGTCAGTTAAGTTTACACGAAATACGTACCCTGTTACATGCAAGAGAGTGTGTATGTGTCGAACGATAACATTATTCATGAATTTTTGGTTTCGACCTGAAAACCAATACAAAAGGCAGCACATTTCAGCGTAGATGCAGCTGAAAGCTTTGGCTTTGTTTTTCGTTTGGTTCATTATTTGGCCCTTTCTTGTTTATATGTCTCTGTTATATAACTAACAAAATAACAGTAGGATTGCATGTATGCACGCATGGCAATACATGAGCTTATCACGTTAAGTCTGGCTGTGACGGCTTAACCACTGGTGTATAACGTGCTACAGGTAAACGTTTTTTTTCCATTTCAAATGCTAGCCTCTAATTTTCATCTAGATGGCTTTTACTGTGAACCGTTTGTACAGTCTTGCTCTCATTGATCAAATATTTATTCACCCAATGAGTGTATAAGAGGCATAGTTACGGTCGGCTGGCTCCACGACCCCCTTTAATTAACTGTTCAATGTCTCCGCAGGAAATGGCGTCCCCAGTGGCCGATACACTCGTCGTACATCCATACATATATATATATATGTGTGTGTGTGTGTGTATGTGTGTGTGTGTATGTCTATATATTAATCTAGTACCAAGTTTATATACCTATATAATACATGTTGTTGTTGAGAGGTTTGCTGTTTTCTGTTACGAAAAAACACCGGGATGGTGAATTTTCTTGTGGAACTTCAAGTTCGATAGTTGGGTAAACCTCTTCGTGCATATTTCGCATTCGTATGGCTTCTCCCCTGTATGTGTTCGTACGTGAGTTTGAAGCGCGTTTTTATAACCAAATCGCTTTCCACACAAACCACAGCTATATGGCCGTTCGCCGGTGTGTACCCTTTCGTGGACTATGCGCGAACCTGCATCTCTTGCCATATATGGGCAGAAGCTACATTTGAAACGCGCGGGACGAGGAGTACGAGCTTTCAGACTTGTAACGCTGCCGCCAGCGACACCACCGCTGCTGGCGCCTGCATTGATCGATTTTAGCTTTAACGAAGGCGTACCAACAGCGTGATGTTGATTCAATGAAGATGCTGAGGTGGACACGAGACCGGTTTCCCCTCTGGAATTGCCGCTAGAGGTCGGATTAAAGCTCGACGACATCGTGTGCGGGTGGTGAGGATGGTGAGGGTGGTGTCGTCGTTGCGAGTGTGAAGAACTATGCAACACCATCATGCTAAGATGTTCACCGGTTATTGGTGCTCCCAAAAACGACATCGAGTTCATGGAGTCGTAAGGGGCTTCATCGGCCGTCGGGCTCGGCACGTCTCCATACACACATACTTCTGCAAAGCAAAACGCTTAGTGAGTTAAATTGAGTCTATTTGCACTCTGAGGGGGTTGTCGCTTAGGGTCTGCAGACACAAATTTGTTGCAAGAGTTGCACATTGGAGAAGGACGAAACAGGCTTGTGGAGAGAAATTTCGTTTTTATTGTATAAAAACAGCTCTGTAAAGATCTTGCTACATCTTCTCCAAAGAATTTAACTGAACGGCATTCCTGCCCATTACCATTTTGCATGTTCATCATTCACGATAGATGTATCTGGGCCCATTTAATGTATTATGGCAGATACTCTTTGGCTGTAGATTGCTGATGAGGTGTATGGCAAACCGAGCATGAGGCTCGTAGTAATCAATCGCTAACCGCGCTTGAACAGTTGTTTTATTTAGTTAACCAATTAGACAGAACTGTACAGATCAACTTGAATGCGGCTGTTCAACCAAAAACTCGAGTCTGTTTAACGGAAACCTCCATGATATCGAACAATAATCTAAGCTTGACATGAGAATAATTGCGTTACGACTCCATAATTTTTGTCAGTAACAGATGGACCAGGATCTACCGGAGTACACAAAAGCTAACTGATTAATTATTATTTTATAATATTAATATAAAATAACGGTGTCAGCATGTCCAAGTAGCTTTTTGTCCGGTGTCTGAGGCATATGAATGTTATTATTATATAACTCACTGACGAACCCTGAAAACGCTGACATACCGAACAAAATACAGTGAACCAAATTTGAAGACGTGATATTTAAATGAGTCGGTAGCTACGTGCATCACTGGCTTGTTTAAACAAACGTTTCGGGGATGAATCATTAGATATCATAGGAATTACTTTGTATCAGAATTGCTTCGTAAATAGTGTAGATCTATACTGATTAATAGTCGCACTACAATGCCACTCAATTTTCAGTTTACGTGCCGTTTTATTTAGAGGTATACAGTAAATCTTACTGTCAAATTTCAAGGTCTGCGTAAACAGCAAATTTTTTTTTCGGGCGTATCGTAGCGAATAGTAGATACAGGGGGTAGAGGCTGTCTATCGCCGATTACACTACATTGAATCAGCCAGTTGTATCAGTCTGCCAAGTTCGAGCACATGTCTAAGCTTCGGTTGTATCAGTCAGTATGCTTATTTGAAAAGCATCATGTTCATTCGGTTTTAAGACCTCGCATAGAACGCCACTAGGCTGGGTGGAATTGTGCTAGTTGTTGTATATCAAACGATGCTGGTAATTATCTTAACTAGCACGTTAGATACGTCGATAAGCCAAGGTAAGATGCATTATAAACTTAAATTGTTCAAATGAAGCTTGATGCTTTCCTACTCGGCCTGCAACGGCTCGTCGGTCTTCCGTCGGCTTCACTCCATCGGCCGAGAGAGTGACAACCATAATTTTCAGTCTATCCATAGTTGATCAACAACAGCCAGCGATAGGCTCGTCGCAATGGATCAAACTTTTGCCGCATTAGTTTCGCGTCTCCCTCCTGTTTTTCAGAGCCGCTCCTTGGCATCCGCGTCTAATATTCGAAAAACAAAAATAGCAATAATAATAACAATTATCAAACACGAACCGTATAAGTCCGACTCCGTGTCTGTTGTTGCTGCTAAAGTATGGTTCCCAGTCTCTCAGCAGACTTTACCAACAGCAACAAACCTTTTGTTGGACGGCCTTTTTCGCTACGTCCCGTCCGTCATCTTTTGACAGAAGCTATAGCACCGATATCAGCAGATCTACAGAAAACAGCGCGGCCAAAAATAGCCGTGCAAATTAAAATTATATCTTATGGGCTCCCCCTGATCATGCTGATGATAACGTCGTGTTGCTGCCCCCCGTTGTTGTTGTTTTTGTTGATGTCGTCTGCTCCTTCTGCCGTTGTCTCTGCTGCTGCTGTAAGTTCTGCTGGTGCCACCGAGGCATTGGTTTATGCACCTTTGCTACAGCTGTCCAGGCCGGCCATTGCGAGCGTAGTGTAAGGTATCGCTGATTACTACTTGCCAGGAACAGCTGAAGCCGCTGCATTGCTAGCAGTATCTTTTCGTCCAGTCGCTGCTTACTCCAATACGATGATGACCAGAGCGTCAGCTGCCCGTACAGCTTACTACCAACGGCTATATAGAAGCAGCAGCAGAAACGGTAGTCGTAGAACTAGGAGTTGGCCGCTGAACAATATGAAGAGCGAACATAGACGCGAAGGAACGAAGAGACGCAACGTAGATCAGAAAGAAGCTGCCGATTATACTGACAGAGATGCAGTTGAAGCAACGCTGGCAGAAAAAGCCAAAAAATTAAAGCAGGCGAAGAAGAAGAAAAATAAATGAGTATGGGAAAGCAGAACTGAGAAGGTGCGCAACCGGTGCTCCGGGCGTTGGTGATCATGAAAATGTACGCGAGACTGTCCCGTTGTAATTGGTGATTCTCGGTGAACGCAGATCAATTACCAGACGCACTGTATCGTACGTGACCTCTGCCCATTAGATAGCCGTAGGCTGACAGTTGAGCAGGGGTTGCTTGGTGTGACGGAGTGAAAGACACAATGTGGAAACTTCTGTATCCGGCACCATCAAATGAATGTCATTTTCTATTCTGTTGCTGGTGTTAGAGCATTGGAGATAAGGCAGTCTCTTTTATCTAAATCGGACTGTAGCTACTACGGCCGGAGTGCAGCTTAGGCTAGATAACGGGTTCGAGCGTTGATTAGATAGCGTACTCCCTAAACAGGCATATCCGATTCACTACGATATTAATCGTGTAGGTCCTCCATGAACGTGTGTGCCGTACGTTTTCGCCAGTCCTATCGTAGGGCTTGTCTGCAAGGAAAATCCTGTGAGTGACTACAAACAAGCTTTACTCAGTTCTAAACAAATAAGTGGCCAACATATAACTCGTCTATTTTAGGTCCAAAAATCAAATTAGAAGGTAGCATTTCAAGATATCACAAAGAGAAAGAACGGACATCGAGGAACACAGCGCCGTCACTGTATTGTATAAAAAGTTTTGGTGCTTTTGTTTGTTGTAAAAAAGTTTGGTGACGAGAGGAGATAACAAAAAATGGAAAAATCACAAAAACAAGAAAAGTATTGTACTGTTTCAAAATTATGACATACTCATATGGCTGCTATACATCATGCCGACATGCAAGAAGTGGAAAGAGACCAAGTAAGCTGGTAGAAGTAATGCTATGAAGTAATGTAAGATTATCCACACTCATTCAAAGCTACAAAAAAAGGAAAGGAGTGCCTACAAAAATAAGGTAACTGTAACGATTCACGGAAAAAAACTGAAATTTTTTGATACATGTTTTGTGCATTCAGCTTGTTTTGTTAAGGCCAGAGCTATTAGATGGAACAATTTTCGATCAATCACAAGCTAACAGTGGGCGGCAGTGTATATTAAAGTTAAGCATTCAGGCAAAATCAAGCGATCCCATAACACAACAAATACCACACAAAGCAATAAATTTAAAGGCGACATGCGGATTTCATTTTCTCAAGAGATGTACACAATACATAACAGTTTTGTTAACTAGTTTTCTTTATTTCTTATATGGAAAATGGGTGATTCTTAACCTCCATGTCACTATTGAGCTTTGATACGGGATAGGCTTGCCGGATAGCTAAGAAGTCTTGCATTTCGTACGCACATGTAATATAAGCGAACGTATAGTCACAGTTTGTTTAGTTAAAATGATATGAATATGTATTGACAACTATTTACAGGTAAGATTTCTATATTATACTGTATCAATAGCGCATTTTGGCAGCGTTTCGACGAAAAAGCGAGGTAATTATCTAAACGAGTTTCGTCTATTCTTATAGGCAAAAAAATCATTGCATGACCTAGATTGGTCCTTTGCCGGTTAAAGGTTATATCTCTTTATTTTGCCATTATTAGCAGGTATAAATCAACCAGATGTATATAAGTATATATTACTATAATATGAGAAGACAGTGTGGTTTAGGAGGCTAATGCACAACTCACCACAATTAAAATTTCAGCGTTGGCAGATGGGTATTATGGTACATTGTTACTATTTGTTGGGGAAATAGCTAAATAAGCTAAGCAAAACCTGTGTCTGATAACTAATGACTAACGGTTTTCTATGACATAAATGATAAAGCTTTTCCACTTCTGCACAGTTAAGATATAGAATGCTGTTGTACCCTCAGTGTCCTTCTATGGGCTTCTACAGCGTTTTAGAACGCAGAATGTATAGATTAGTATTATTCTGAGTAAAATCGTGACCGTCACGACCAATAACTTCAATCACCGGCTAGATGATCGCCTTGTATCCATAACTACTATAATTTCTCGTAAATGTACATAAACGAATTATACCAAGAGGGTTAATTAACAGTGAGCTAGACGCTCTACATCAGGAATAGTGGTTTAAATCAAAGATGGTCCTTGTCCACAATTTGCTGTCCTTCAATTAGTAGGTTCTTTTGTCAAAGTATTACCTAACGCATCGTTGAGCATAATCCTATTAGACATAACTATGTTGTAAAAAATCTATACGTTATTTCGGAATAAATAAATAAACTAGAAGTCGTGTGGCAGGGGTGAGTGCAGAATTAATAATTTTTATGTGCTTTAATTTAAGCGGGTCCAGTCGCTTCTGTATACATGGTAAACAGCCCTATGGTGACTGCTGCAATGCTGACAATTTGTAAGGAGGCGAATCAGGCCAATTCCGACAAGTTGTTGGCTACCTATCTTTATAACTGCTACTCTTCATGAACTACCGCAATTATTAGCATTCATTTATTTGTACGCCCATACGCATACAAACCAGTCATGGGATAGCACATTATAGAAACGCATGGCCGAGCAAACCTAGTTGTAATGATAGTACGAAGTACCAGGCATAGGCATTACTGGCAGGCACGAACCATAATGGCGACGAGTGCGGACAAACAAGGAATCGGCACTCCAGAGCGCGTCAAGACCGCGTCGCGGCTAGGGTACAGACAAATGCGTGACTGCGTGAGTCA